AGCACTGTCTGACGCGTCTGCCTCCGCGACCCGAAAGGAGAAGCGGCGATGGAAGATGAAGATGAAGAATTTCGTTACGCAATGCAGTACAACGGGATTCACGGGCAATAAGGGAAAATCTCGAACAGACGGGTTTCCCCGTGCCATGGCACAAGGCTGGCATATTCCAATATGCTTGGAACATGAGATGAGAGCTGCTTCTCGGTAGAACGTCTCATCTAGAATCGAGAAGTCATGGTTCATGCTTCGGTTCTGCTACATTCTTTTGCCCTCCGATGTTGATAAATGAGTACCACGATAACACGCTACAGTGGTTACTGAGCTGTAAATAATGCCTTAAAACAGAGTAATAAAGCACTCCTGGCTGATGACATAATGAGATTGTCTTTAGCGTCGCAAAATAAGTTTCACTGAATGGCGGGTGCCACAAATGGCGCTTCATCATGACGCGCTAAAGTGACCTACATTTCAACTGGTAAGGTTACCAAATTTTCAGTATATCTAGAAGCTTTCAAAATTTTCGTGGTATTTTAGAGATGAAGTTCATCAATACGAAAAATTGAATACACTGTTACAGTTTGCTTCCTAAACTTTCTTCATGGCTCGGAGATTTGTGTGCATTAATGACGAAAAATTATTTCTGTGCCACCTCCTTGTACGAATGATCATTCATCCCCGTTTCATACGTTTGTTTCAACGCCCTGAAAAAACCAAAACTTCACAACTTACTACCTTTAAGAAGCGTTTAAATGGCTATTTCCATTTCGACAATTTTATGGAAATTTGGAATGTTTCAGTCGCTGTGCGAGTATCTAACGATAATGCTGAAACTCATAATCGTAGCAAGAAAATTCGCCTTAATAACGAATAATTCCTCCAAGATTAATGCATTGCACCCCTTCATTGTTTGCAGTTGCCTAGGAAACCATTTAAGTAAGCCGTGGCTCCACAGTATTTGATCACCTGCAATGCTAAATGCATCTTGCAACATTTTGTAAGAACAACTCGTCTGTGCGGTACCGCACGAAGAATTCAGCTCCTGAAACATCGTTCTTGATGAGCGCAAGGGTTCTAGCGTCGTATTCACCTGGCACAGTATTTTTACCGCTTACCTAAAACACAGTAACGTGATGTTCTGTTCATGCCCATTGTCTCTACTGTGAACTGCTTTTTCACGAAGGTTTGGAAATTTGCAGCAAAATTAGTTATATTATACCTTTAACTAAAAAACCCATCATGCCACTAAATTTTCCACGAATTAGTCAAGGAACTGAAACAGATTATGTTCTCTGAAAGGAAATTTATGGTTAGTTATGTCGTTAAAGATTTATGAATTATTCATTAACATTCCTGTCGATTGCACTACAGCTATACGTATTCTAACTGATGAGTTTGTTAAGATTCGTACTACCCACTCAGTTAGTAACTTTTGTATGGTAAAAGCGAATTGTTCCACTTTTTCAATGACTAACCAAACAAAGTCTGTACACATTTTTAGGGACATAACTCATTGCAATGTAGCGGAGTGAAAGAAAGCCTGCCAATTTCGCTGCAGAGAATGCTTTTGGTACAGTATTGCGGAACACATATAGTGACAATGAACATTATGCAGAGTACAAATCAACTCCAGTCTGTAATATGGAATATTATCCGCACCAATCCGGTCTAGCAGCCAGTCTTGGAGAAATGCGGCGAAAAACAACGCTGCTCGGATTCGTGTGCCTCCATGAGCTTTCAGACAAGAAGCACGATTTCATATGGCACGATAATTTAGTGTTGATTAGCAGAATGCGCCACAGCGCCGATCGACCTGGGAGCGAGTAGCATGCGAGGCAATGACAAGTTGTGAAAATCAGAATAGAGACGAGTAGTGAGTGGTAGCTTGGTTTGGTCGACCTGCCTGAACTCAGTTGTGGCGGCTACGTCGGTGAGGTTCAATGAGTGACAGGAAGAATGACACATGTCACGCCACTGCAACCTGTAATGCAGTGCGGTACGGCTTGACAGAGTGATCATGGAATCCGCTCGAATGAAGGACGATGGCTCTCGGTTGCGACCAGTGTACAGCCAAAAGCGCACATGCGAAAGTTTGAGTATTCTACGTCGGCGGTCGGTTGATTGCGCCATTGGCACGTTGGCACGCATCCATGGCGGCACCTGGCACGCTGCCTTCGGCGCCACGGTGATTGGTAGGCAACTAGGTCACATGGTAATGGCGGTCGATAAACGGAGTTCAACGTGTAAGTACGACCGGCGGTTGCTGGATGATGCACGTGCGCGGTGGACGCAAATAGTTTGCCTCTCGTTCGTGCGTCGAGTGGTCGTCAGCGACGAATACTTTGTGGCGAGGGAAGCCACGAAGAACGCCTGTCGAGGATGCCTGCTCCTTGTGCACCCGTCCATCGATCGTGCGCGCAAGGCAACAGCCTGTGGGGTGGGGGGATGATGGAGAGGAAGGGGAGGTTGGCGGTAGGATGGCGGAGTCGTTGCC